ATACTCACGCGCGCGGAATTCAAAAATGCCAGGAGAGGGATTCGAACCCTCGTCCCCTACAAGTGGGACGTGCACTTGAGGCAGGCGCCTTAACCACTCGGCCATCCTGACATCTTGCTTATGTGTGTGTCGCATCACGGTTTTGTATCACCCATACGCGCCGTGACGTGTTGTGACGTGTCACGCTTAGGTTATGTTGCCACCCTTGAATTACGCCCTTCCATCGATCCTCGATATTTTTTAGGGGTGGGTTAGCAACCCTCGTTCAATCCTCGATTTTTTAGGGGTGGGTTTGCACCCCTTCGTCGATCCTCGATATTTTTAGGGGTGGGTTAGCACCCCTAAATCTAGGTACGAGTTAAGCCCCTCCAAGACACCGTTAAAAATAGGTTAGGACCTAACCTAACCGTTAGGTTATGTTAGAGCCCTCCAAGACACCGTTAAAAAAAATAGGTACGGGGTTAGGCCTCTCCAAGATACCCCCTAAAATTAGGTACGGGGTTAGGAACCCCCAAGACACCTCAAAATTAGGTTAGGTTAAGTTAGAGCCCCCCAAGATGGCGACCGCGGCATAGTGCCACAAGATGGCCGACCGCGACAAAGTGACACACTTACTACTATTATAATAAATTTTAAATGTCAGTAGCCTAATGTTCATTTGTGATTCCGTTTTCGCAGGATCTCGTTATTTGCATCAAGTTCAAGGGCAGGAATTGGCGGGCCCAGCACTTACCATCCCGATATTATTGCATTGTGCAACTGACGTTATTGCATTAAATCAGTAGTTTCTACATTTTTGTGTTTCTTAACTGAGTACCTGTACCGTGCCTCTAGTGACCCGGGAACCGGGAGAGGTGGGGCCCGGGGCGGGGAGCCGGCCGCACAACTGATCACTCTAGTTATACACATGTCACCTAAGTATCGTATCGTCCGTGTGGGGAGACTTGGTGTGACTTGCTCCCTATCCTAGCAGCCGATAGCAGCACAGGCCAATCCGACGAAAATTGTTCTGTGACTAACGAGACTACACTCTAAATCTGAAATGACTTTGCTTGTCCATAGAAAGTCGCGTTTTTGTGCACATTTCAACGAGATGCAGATTTGAATCTAGCAAAAGACGAATCATCATCTTACTGGTGGACAATATTTTTCCGTCCATCAAAATAGATACAAATTTGTCACTTGCCCGAATCAAATTTGCATCTTGTTTAGATGTGCACTAAAACGCATCATTCTATGCACAAGAAAAGTCCTTTCAGATTTAGTGTGAGAATCCCTCGCCTCGGGAAAACGAAAGGCTCCTCGGCGCGGGGTATCGGAATCTCCCTGCTCTCGTGCGTTCCGTCGCCGCGGCTAGCCGCACAAATGTTGCCCTTCTGTGAGCGTCGGGAGTATCCACGCGCACGGCTCGTTCCGTCGCCGCGCCCGCCCGCACAGCACGGAGTAAGAATATATGGAGGACCGGCTGTGGTCGCGCGGCGGTTCCCCGGCCGCGTCCAGGGACAATCTCCGCCGTGCGCAGCGCTGCAGTCGCATTGGCGAGAGCCTCGGGCGGCGCTGCGCTGGGCGCCTACGGGTGGAGCGCGCCGCGAGCGCTTTAACGCGGCGGCGCTCCTGGGCCGTTCATTGCACAAGAGGGGAGACACCGGGTACTTAAAGTGAAAAGTTCAAGCTTTCCAACGGTATCAATATTTTTTCGATACGACTAATACTTTCCGAACAGCGGCCTGAGAAAGAGAGATGTGTGGCGCGCGCGCCGCTAATCTTGGCTGTAGCTCTGAAACCGTTGAAGATAGTCAGGTGGTGTAAGCGAGCCGATTGTAGAGTAAAGTTCAAGCTTTCAGACCGCGTTCACGTTTTTCCGATCCGACCCACGCAGCTCCGGCTGGACCGCCGCGAACACCGCGCGGTCGGGCCGGCTGCGCTGTCCCTGGTCTCCGACCGTACCGGCCGACGTGCCGGGGAGCGAGCGTAGATATTCTTGGCTGTAGCTCTTAAACCGTTTAAGATAGTCAAGTGGTGTGAGCCAGCCGATTGTAGAGCAAAGTTCAAGCTTTCAGACCGTGTTCACGTTTTTCCGATCCGACCCACGCAGCTCCGGCTGGACCGCCGCGAACACCGCGCTGTCGGGCCAGCTGCCTGCGCTGCGACGCGTGCGTTCGGGACCTTCTGAGCAAGTTGGAGCGCACGATCCGGCAACGCCGCACCCCCCACCACTCCCACTCCACCTCGGCTGGCTATATTTTTAGATTTCCCTTCAAATTGGATGAAATTCCGAAAAACGAAGAACACTTGCAACTAGATTTTATCACGCTGAATCCGAATACATGGCACTTTTTGTCACTTGATTCCGTATTTAGGCGTATATTCGATTATGAGTGGTCTGGCCCGGGGCCCGGGGTCGTCTGCTGCTCGCGCGCCGTGTTTGTTTTGCCGGTCGCCACTGGTGGTTGCAATTCACTGATGATATGACAAAGGAGCTTGACAAAGAAACATAAGTCCAGGTGTAGCTTCACAAAGGAACATAAGTCCACCAACAAGATTTGACAGAGGAACATAAGTCCAAGTCATTTTGGTCAAGAAATGCCCTCTTAGAGATGGCCGATACAGTATCGATATTTTCCACTATCGATACCTCTAACCCAATATATCGATAATTTAGTATCGATAGCCAGCTGGTTCTTAAGAAAAGGATAGGGGAAAAGTATCGATATTTGTCAATATCGATAGTTTTTCAATATCGATATGCATTTTATCGATATGTTTGGTTCGATTGGCCAGCACCCAAACGGTAGGAGATAGACCACAAAGGACGAAACTTTCACCCAGAGAACTCTATTTTGACGAGTTGCCCCATAGGCACCCGTAAAAATATTTAAAAAAAATGTGACCTGTAGTTTTTGATTTTTTTTAAAAAGTCAATTATTGAGCGAGAATGTTCATCGTCGAACTCGATCTGTTTTTTTATGATACAAAACGGCCCTGAAATTCCCAGATCGCTGTCCCAATTCCTTCTTAAATTATAGTGCGGACTTATGTTCCCCTGTCAAATCTTGTTGGTGGACTTACGTTCCTTTGTGAAGCTACACCTGGACTTATGTTCCTTAGTCAAATCTTGTTGTTGGACTTATGTTCCTTTGTGAAATCTTGTTGTTGGACTTATGTTCCTTTGAGAAACTACACCTGGACTTATGTTCCTCTGTCAAATCCCACTGGTGGACTAACGTTCCTTTGTCAGATCCACAAGGGGGTGTCAAAACACATAAGTCACACTAAAATCTGTTCTAATTGAGATAAAGCTACATATGTTTCGCAGAGATGTAAAGCATACTAAAACAAAACATTCTGTGAAGGAAAAAGTTATCTAGCTTTAAAACTGTAGCAGCCAGACTAGAATTAGAAACACTTTTGGCTCTCTTGAAAAATTAGCCAAAGTGGCCTTATGCTCCTTTGTCATATCATCAGTGACTTGCGTTGTTCGTCGTCGAAAGTGTATGACACTTCGGTCTCGGTGCATAAACCAAGTCTTCAGAGGTAAATATCTCATTGTGGATCGTTAATTAACACTGAAACGTACACTTTGCGACTGAAATCACTTAAAGCACCGACCACGATGTAGTTAATACGGTGTCGGCACTGAGCTATCCGAGCGGGCCGCGGAAAGACGGCACATTCGTAGTTCCAGAAGAGCCGCCAGTGGCGCTGGCGTCGACCGATGCCGGGCGAGGGGAGAAGGGACGAGACGAGCGGGGCACCGCTCCCGTACCCTCCCGCCACCCCTCGCCCGGTATCGGTCGACGCCAGCGCCACTGGCGGCTCTTCTGGAACTACGAATGTGCCGTCTTTCCGCGGCCGTCTTTTAGCCCGCTACCGGCCGGGAGAGCCTACACCGTATTAACTACATCGTGGCACCGACCCTAACCGCTTCCTTCTTCCGGGGGGCTTTAAAACCCATGGATGTTTTAGGTCCGCTCTTGCTGTTGGAGACGGATGTCGCTCCGGGAGCTATTTTGAGCACTATCAATCCCCATAAATGGTCCATGGATCAGCTTAAACAGTGGCTGAGGTGCAGAGGCTTGGCTGTTGGCGGAAAGAATCGTGAACAAATAGGGTATTGGTCTAGAGCGCTGAGCGGAAGTAGAAGAACAAAAACGGAAAATGGAAAGGCGCCCGCACTCCTCCCCGCCTGCCCTCCACTTCTCCCCGGGCGCTCCCCCACTCAGCCCTCTGTGGAGGAGAGGGGGACGGTGCGTCGCCTTTTTCCACCTTCCGTTTTTGTTCTTCGACTTCCGCTCAGCGCTCTAGACCAGTACCCTATTGAAAGGTTTGATCTTTTGTTTTATTCAGACATATCTAATTGGCTGAGCGATAGCGAAGCCTATTACTCCAGTGATGATCAAAAAGTTTCGCGTCTGTCTGTGTGTGTGTGTGTGTGTGTCTGTTTATCTGTACTCACGATAACTCGAGAACGAATTGAGCTAGCGACCTGGGATTTTCAGGGTCATTTAGTATCATAAAAAGACAAATCGAGTTCGAAGATAAGCATTCTAGCTCAAAAATTGGATTTTTTAAAAATCAAAAACAACAGGTCCTAAAACTTACGTTTTTTAAAAATATTTCTTTTACAGTTTCATAAGGGGTACCTCATCAAAGTAGAGCCCTTAGGGTGTAAATTTCGTCCGTTTGGCTCTAACTTTAACCATTTATTAGGCGCCACAGGGAGTTTTTGACGAAAATAAGCGAAACAATGTAGAACCCTGCATTCTTAGTCGAAATGGCGGGAAGTTGACGGGCCGAAAGCCCGTATCTTTGTGTACATTTTTGCGCTTTCCGACTCGGGTGTCAGCGCCGCAGGCCTAGGTAGATATATGCCACGCGCGTCGCAGCGTAGCAGTGTTTCGTGATATATCGCGAAGCCTGTTACGCGAGACGTGGTCTGGCGTACATCTACCTAGTTAATTCGTTACCAAGTTTTTCTACTGAGATAATTGTTTTTGTAGATTTTTGAAAAGATCTGCAAACAAAAAACCATGCCATATACTAGATCCAGGATCTGAGAACGGAAAGTGGCTGGAGTTAAAGCGCCAGAAGTTACTAAGTGCTGCTAATGTCATCGTACGTTTCGGTTTGTTTCTTTCCAGTATTTTCTCTGCTACATTTACAATTATTTCCCTGTGATTCATTTGTGTGCAGGTTCCCCAGAAGCCAATACTTCCAGTGACTGGTTGGATGTTATTCCCCAGCAATGACATCCCAGCCATGTTCAAGAGGGACACATAATGCATTATTGGCTGAGCGATTAGCGAAGCCCATAACTCCACTGACCGGAAAAGTTTCATTCTATTTGATTGTCTGTTTGTCCGTCTGTCCGCACGATAACTCGAGAAAGGATTGAGATAGCGACCTGGGATTTTCAGGGTCGTTTTGTACCATTAAAAGACAGATCGAGTTCAAAGATGAGCATTGTAGCTCAAAAATTGACTTTTAAAAGAATCAAAAACCACAGGTCGCAAAATACTAGCTATATGTACGCCAGACCACGTCTCGCGTAACAGGCTTCGCGATATATCACGAAACACTGTGACGCTGCGACGCGCCTGGCGCACATATAGCTAGGCCTGCGGCGCTGACACCCCAGACGAGTTAAATTTTACGATTTAATA